GTGTTGACCACAGCAAACTATGGCAAGTTCTTAAAGAAATGGGAGTGCCTGATCACCTCATCTGTCTCCTGAGAAATCTCTATGTGGGACAAGAAACTACAGTTAGAACTGGATAGGGAACAACTGATTGGTTCAAAATTGGGAAAGGAGTCCGACAAGGCTGTATATTGTCTCCCTGCTTATTTAACTTATATGCAGAATTCATCATGCGAAAGGCTGGGCTGGATGAATCCCAAGCCAGAATTAAGATTGCGGAAGAAATATCAACAACCTCAGATATGCAGATGACACAACCTTGATGGCAGAAAGTGAGGAGGAATTAATGAACCTTTTAATGAGGGTGAAAGAGGAGAGCGCAAAATATGGTTTGAAGCTCAACATCAAAAAAAGAAGATCATGGCCACTGGTCCCATCACCTCCTGGCAAATAGAAGGGGAAGAAACGGAGGCAGTGAGAGATTTTACTTGCTTGGGCTCCATGATCACTGCAGATGGTGACAGCAGTCACGAAATTAAAAGACGCCTGCTTCTTGGGAGAAAAGCAATGACAAACCTAGACAGCATCTTAAAAAGCAGATACATCACCTTGCCAACAAAGGTCCGTATAGTTAAAGCAATGGTTTTCCCAGTAGTGATGTATGGAAATGAGAGCTGGACCATAAAGAAGGCTGATTGCTGAAGAATGGATGCTTTTGAATTATGGTGCTGGAGGAGACTCTTGAGAGTCCCATGGATTACAAGAAGATCAGACCTATCCATTCTTAAGGAAATCAGCCCTGAGTGCTCACTGGAAGGACAGATCCTGGAGCTGAGGCTCCAATACTTTGGCTACCTCATGAGAAGAGAAGACTCCCTGGAAAACACCCTGATGTTGGGACAGATGGAGGGCACAAGGAGAAGGGGATGACAGAGGACGAGATGGTTGGACAGTGTTCTCGAAGCTACAAACATGAGTCTGACCAAACTGCGGGAGGCAGTGGAAGACAGGAGTGCCTGGCGTGCTCTGGTCCATGGGGTCACGAAGAGTCAGACATGACTAAATGACTAAACAACAACAAACTTAGTTTTACCAGTCTTTGGTGGCTGGGGCTGAGCACTTAATCTTCTCTGATAAATGCTGTTCATACGCTTGATATAGTTGTATGCTATGGGCCAAATTGATGCAAGTTGTTGTGCTAGCAGAATCCAGCCCAATGACTCCTGCTACGGCAGTAGGACCCTCCTCCCTCTGCTGTGTCTTCCTGAAATCTGCTTGGAAGGAAAGGAGAATCTCCAGAACAGTACACAGGGGCAGGAGAGGAGAGGTTGTTTTGTCCAGCAAGCAGAAATGCTTCTTCTGATGGAACAATCCCCTTACCATGTGTTCCACCACCCTATCTGCTTTTCATTTTCTCTGGAGGAGACTTCCATTGTGAGAGGAGATGTTCATGTCTCATATTTTTCCCACTATTAGAATCTGACTTACAAATTTATGACATACCATTATTTGTGATTGATTTCTCCCTTCCTCCCCCTCTGCCCTCTTTTGGTTTGAGTTTAATACTTACATTATATATTAATTTTTTTAACTGAGGAAATTTACTGAAATGGTTCATATTTTATGGCAGATGTGGATGATGGTAGCTGATAGCTAAAAATATGCCTGACTAATATACTGGCCTGTCTTTTCATGACTTGCTTATTTATCCCTTGGCCATATTTATGTGTGGTGAGCTGTTCATATTTGAAACATGATTGTAAATTGCACATTTTAAAGGCAGCACATTTTCTTTACGTCTTCCTCCTCAGTGGCCATGTTGCTTGTTCTAAGGATGAGTTACGCAGAGTAATTTTGAAAGCGTAATGGGGCTCTCAGTAATTCATACATCTCTTAGGAATTCTCTGCTCTAAATATCAGGTGATGTAGAAGACTGGTGTTTTCCTTTAATAATATATCTAGACCCATTTTGATGGATCGACTGAAATCTCTGCTTGGATTTTTGAAAATATAAATATTCCTTCTGCTGCAAATTAAGCTTCTTTAAATTTTATTCATTTATTTGATTCAAGTACCTCTGATTTCTATTTCATCCTGACTCTGAATAATCACCAATGATTAGCTGTACAATATCATATAACAACGTCTCTGGTTACTGTGTAAATGTTACTGGAACAGCTAATCACTCTCTTCACTGCCAGAGACAAGCACAGAACAAATAATGAGTAGGGATGTTTTTTTATTTTATTTTATTTTTTTGCAGGGAGGAGGAAGAACCCAATCATGTTACAAACAAAACATGTTTGCTGAAACACACCCTATTTATTTATTTTAAAACATTTTTAAATTGCTTAGTGGTCTACGTTATGCACAATATAAAACCAATATCCATTAAAATAAAAACAAAAAAATGCAGCCTAAAACCAGTAAAACAATATAAAAAACATATGAAGGAAAGTAATACAGTGATTCGGGGAATTCATACATTGATATCAGATTCCAATCTTTTGGGTCAGGTAAAGCCTGGGGGAAAATATAAGTCTTCACAAGATGTCTGAACCAATGGGTGGTTGCTCCTTCTTGTATGGCCTTCCATAGAATAGAGGCAACAGCAAAAATGTCTTTGGGTCACCACCCTATATTTTGTAGGGTGTGGTGCCATGAAGTAGAGTCTCCCCAAATATATATAGGGGCAGAAAGTCTTTCAGGGAGGTTCTTTAGGGTTGTCAGTGTTAACAGGCCCTTGAACATGGCAGCTGATCAGCAGATTTCTTGGCTCTGGTATAATATGTTTGTCTACAGGTACTCTGCTCAATCTGGATGTAGCATTCTGCATTGAGATCAATTGCAAGGCAAGTCCAACAGAGAGTGCAGTAGTCCTGTCATGAGGTAGCCAATGCATGAATCACAGCGGCTAAGCTATCCCTGTCCAGGAAAGGGCGCAGTTGGTGCACCAACCTGAGTTGATAACAAGCATTCATTGCCACAGGTGTCACCTGTGCCTCCGGTGACAAAGATGGATTGAGGAGCACCTCCAAACTACTCACCTGCTCTTTCAGAGGGAGTGCAACCCATCCAGAACCAATGAACTCCCCAAACTCTGGGACCTGGGAACCTCCATCTTACTAGGATTCATTCTCAGTTTGTTGAACCATCATTGCATCCAGGCACCATTTTTTTAAAGAGCCAGGGTGGTCCCAAGGTTAGAAAGTCTAGAGATGGTAGTAAATGTGAAGTATTGTAAAATCAGATCCTACTTCTGCAAAGGATATGTTTGGCCTAATTGGATATTCCTTGGCTGCTTTTTTGTGAGAACAAAAAAAGTGGTGTGATTTGAGATGTCTTTTTTAAAAAAAATCTTTTTTCCATTTTAGGAATTTATCAGGGAACATTTTTTCAAGTCTCATGAATGGACTCTTCTCTGAGCTTTTAGCTCTGAAAGCCTTGTAAGTATGCCTTGATTAGGTAAAGGCCCATTTTGGCTCCATTTACACATATTACTGTGATTAGCTTCATCATTATATAGATTTTCAGCATTGTATGTTCAGTGAAATTAATATAAATTCCTTATGTGCATTTTGTAAAACACATTCTAATCCTTTTCTGTCACATGGAATACTTTCAGATCACTGGAATATTAAACAGTTGTGTTGGAGCCAGAATAGTAGGGTTGTAATAATTGTTTCATTGTGATTTTTAATTTGAAGTTGTTTTTTTAAAAAATGCTGAAGCTTTATGGTTGATTTCCCTTAACATTTTATGAAGGGGTGGATGGAAGCAGAGAACAAGCAAATTAATTCCTTACAGTGTTTACATAAAACATCGTATATGTTCATTATAACCCTACTTAGATTAAACCTACTTATTAGAGTTAAAACATTTAAACATTCCTCTTTTCTAGCAGATGGGGGGGGTTTTATTAAACAATAAAAATAATGATGAAAAATTAACGAGTGTAGAGGGTAAATAGTGCTTCTATAATTACTTGCATAGACTCATAGAATTGTAGAGTTAGAAGGGATTCCAAGCATCATCTAGTCCAACCCCCTTCAATGCAGGAATCTCAACTAGATCATACATGACAGATGGCCATCCAACCTCTGCTTAAAGACTTCCATGTGGCAGTTAAATAGTACAGAGCCTATATACTGCTATTGATTTCACTAAATTAGAAATAGAATTTGACATCGTCTGTTGGAATTATGGAACTGAAAGGCTATAGTGCAGTCAAATGCTTTGGAAGACATAATGCAGATATCCATCTATGGCTTTCGTTAGGCAGAGTAAGGCAGATGCCTCAGGCAGCTGATAGAGTGGGTATAAGGTAGTAAAGGTGTTGTAGCAAGGTGTTGTGCCTACCATGACCCCTGCTTAGCTAGCATGCTGCCCTCAGTGGAGGATGCTTTGTTCCATCACTACTGTTGAAGCAAGGTTCAGCCTCCATCTGGTTGGTTTCGGGACATGGAATTGTGGGGTGGGGAGGACGCCATCTTGCAATTTGCCTCAGGCATCAAAACATCATAGGCTGGGCCTCTTTGTTTGTATGCCACTTTTCCACAAAATTGTGCCCAGAGTGGTTCTGAGCATGTCAAATGGGCAACAGTAGAACTAAAAAAACAAAACCATACCAGGCACTTTTTGCAGATAATCATGGTGTCAAAAAAGTAGATACGTCATTAGAGAAAAATCAATCCATTTAATATTACTGAAAACAATACAAATGAACTAACCTAACAGCTTAAAACTAAACAGGAGAGAGAGAATAAAACCTAACAGAGCCTTACACCGAGTCCAACCAAATGTTAGTCTAGCTCAGTATTATCTACACCAGGCATCCCGAAATTAGGCCCTCCAGATGTTTTGGGACTACATTTCCCATCATCCCTGACCACTGGTCCTGTTAGCTAGGGATGATGGGAGTTGTAGTCCCAAAACAGCTGGAAGGTCGAGTTTTGGGATGCCTGATCTACACTGACTGGCAGCAGCTCTAAAGGGTTTCTGATATGGAGTCTGCCAACCCTACCTGGAGATGCCAGGGATTGAACTTGGGACCTTCTGCATGCAAAGCAGATGCCTACAAAGATTTTCTACTGAGCTATGGCCCTTCCCCATGGTATATATACAAGCCTGGGAAAATAAATATCACCATTCCAGAAAGGGAATTCCGTGGAGGTTTGCTCCAATCACATCCATTGGATTGCAGCCACACCTCTCACATGTGGTAGCCTGCCAACTCTTACCTGGGTGATTTCCTGAGCAGCAGATGCACAGTGACTACACTCAATGTGTTTTCTCTCTCTCTCACCTGAAATGCCAAATTAAAATTCCCAGGTTGAGAGCCAAAATTAATTCTACCTCAATAATTCTGAAAAACTGGATTCCCCAGTTAAAATGTTTAAATCCTAAGTCACATACAGTAGATAACCTGGCTACATGCTTTCACATAGTGAGAGTTGTTATTATTATTATTTTAATTCTGTACTCTTAAATAACCCACGTCCCAAATACCTCATATAGCACTGTAAGCTTAAGAGCAAATGTTGAATTGGACGCTAAGACAAGAGCTTTCATTGTTCCCAAACATCCATAAGTGGAAGGAGGATGTCATTTAAATTCATCAAGCTACTGGACCTGGGAGCAAACTCCTCATTGGCATGTATACATATCCCATTAATAAAGGGAAAGGTGGAATGGTGCATCCATGCAGAGCACAAAGCTCAGCTAAAACATCCATATCATTATCCTGCTGTCCAAGAAGACAAACAAAACATCTGATTAAAGAGCCGCATTGTTTACATAGTGTCGTGGTGGCATAATCAGACTTGTGGGCAAATAGCAGTGCTGTTTACATAGGCTTGCAGAGGCGTGGAGCTATACGGGAGAAGATACTGAATGGTTTAGGACATTAATGGTAAGCACAAATTAGTTCAAGCATGTTTTGAAGAATGCCCTGGCACGCTCCCCAGTGGCATGGGATCATCCCACCGACAAGAAGTTCCCATCATTATATGAGTGAAGTGAAGTATGGGAACCTGCAGTTGAGACATCAAGGCCAGGAGGAGGAACCCTGTTATTAAATTAATTATAATGGATTCTACAGATTCTATCATTGCTTTGACACGTGGGCTAAACTTGATTTATATTTTGATCTATGCTATGTTTGGTTGTTTTATTATTCTTGCTATTTATCAAATTTCTATACCACCCTTCATCCAAAATGACACAAAAATGCATATCATAATAACAAACAAAAACAATCCCTCACCCTAGTTTAAAAGGCCATAGATTAGCTAATTAATTAGCCAAAAACATTAGAGAAAAGGAATGTTTGTGCCAGGCACCTCAAAATACGCAATGAAGGCGCCAGGTGAGCCTCCTTGGGGAGAGTATTCTGCAAGCGGGGAGCCACTGCAGAAAAGGCCCGTTCTTGTGTTGCTGCCCTCAAGACCTCTCACAGAGGAGGCCACGAAGAAGAGTTTCAGATGATGATCATAGGATGATTGCATTGGCTGTATGGCTTTCTGTTTGCAGTTAGCTACTTTGGGCTTTGCTCAGGAAGACTGTAAGCAATAAGTGAAAAGAAATGCAGGGGTTGGCTCTGAACTTAATCTTTATTAAAATAGAACCATTTCAATAAATGGGACTTACAGTAGCCATGACTTAAAAGTTCCATTGCTTTTAGAGGGGGTACTTCAAGCACATGTGAACCTTGATTTAACCCAGCAAGTGCAAGTGAATTGCCCTTCCTCTATTTGCAGCTATCAGAAATGTCCTAAGTTGGAACCATGCTTAGCTGGGGGGAAATGCATGTTCTGTGCCTACAGAGAAACAGTGTTGTGAGACTGGGGGCTTCCATTGTTGAAGGAGCTGGGCAGGTTTCTTGGTGAGTTAATTGGCTCTAAATACATGTCATTAGTATAAGAAATGAAGCTGCTCTGTGCCGGAAGGCAAATGGATGAGACCCCTCTTTCACCTGGATGGTAGTGAGAAGGACAGTAGCCAGAGTAGAGCTGTGTGCGGGAGCTGAATTGGAAGGAGGCTGCAGACAGAAGCCTGAGAATGAGAGCCATGCTTAATTTCTGCTTGAATCCAAGTCTGTGGCCAGTGCTCTTTTTATGGGGGCACTCAAAGATACACAGTACTCGCACCTTTTTTTCCTAGAAGAAAAGCACTGGCTATGGAAAAAGCAAGACCTTCTGGGTGCTAATGCTGTGAGTCCCTCCATTGCAGGCTCAGGTTGTCTTCTTCTTCAGCGATCACTCATAGCAGAGTAAGATTGTCTTCCATGAACAAGGTCTTAACAGTGAGTCTGTAAGTGACTGTGGAGGCCAATTCTGGATCCACACATCCTTCCACAGTGTGGACATAGGTTTTCGGATGAGAGTTGATCATGGTGAGGGTTTGTCAAACATGCCTCTTAGTACGTTACTCCCTTTTGTCCTGAGTTCAAGTGTCTTCAAAGCCCATGACACCTTGTTCTCCAGTTGGAGCACTCGCAGGCCAGTGTTTCCCAATTGTTGGGGGTTTATACTACATTTTTTAAGATTTGCCTTGAGAGAGTCTTTAAACTTCTTTTGTATATATGTGTGAATAAATCATAGATCATAAATGCAACATAGTCTCTGCTGTGCCTCATTCCAAGAAGACCAAACCCTGGGGAGGCATCTGGAACCCCTGGAATCTTACACTGCATGGGGTGGCATGCAACAACATGTTCAGCCTCATGGAGGAGAGATGAATGGATGTGGATGATTATGTGCAGATAGAGGATGCACAACTTGTCCTTGCTGCTGTGTCATTAGTGCCGGACGCCACTCGGATTATCTGTCTAGCTTTCTTCTAAGAGCTACTTAACTAAGATTTGTGAAATGTTGTCAGTGTTTCAATGATTAGTTTTCTGTGACAATCACTGTATAAAAATCATTTTGAAAGGGACAGTATTGATTGGTTTTGGGTTTCATTTCAGACATTTCTACACTGATTCTCTCACCTGTGACTGTAATCTCAAATGGGTTTTACACTGGGCTAGAAATGCCTCAGTTCGGATCTCGGAAGAAACAGTTTGTGCTTTCCCCAGGAGTTTACAAGGAACATCATTTCAGAACCTGAAAGAAAATCAGCTGATGTGCGGTGAGTGGTACTCTACTTTCAGCATCATGAATTGAAACCAGTGTTCTCAGAGAAAGTGTATTCCGAAGGATAAATGCCAAGTGATTGGTGTGCAGAACTGGATGATAGCTGCAAGAAAGCAAATATGTCAGAAACCATACTGAGGCTTAAGGTTAAACAATGTGCAACTTTAAAAAACCAAAAACAAAATTAGATTGCAGATCTCTTTTGTGTATAAATAAATGTTCCTTGTAAAACTACCAGTGCCCTTATCTGCCTTTGTAACTCTTATACATTTGAATGTATCATAGGAAAGGTATTTCTCATTGCATTTTATCTTCAAATAAATAATCTTTTTTCATTAGATTGTAGTGTGACAACAGGGAATAAATGTCAATCTATCTGCCACTCACCTTCACAAGCCTTGCAATATAAGCTGTACCTGTGTAGGGAAGGATGAATTTTAATAACGGGGAGCTTTAAGAGAGGCAAAGATCTTAAAACAAATATTTGAAATAATAGAAACGGAATGGATGGGAAGGAGATAAAATAACATGTGTCAAGTCCTGTCTCTTATATCAGAGCAATCTTGAAACCACAGTGTCTATGTCGCTTTCTGAAGATCTCATCATGAGAACAAAACTGACCCTGAAAAAACTTAGAAGTTATTCTCTAGGTTTTGTATAGGAAGAAATATTATTTCGCTATGTGCCACATGGTTATTTGACTTGCAAAGCATTTGTATGTGCAGCTTACATGCGTGCATTTATAAAATGTACTCCAGAATACTTTGTCCAGAATACTCTGAATAGTTTTATACCATCCTTTTCTTTCAAATTTCTCTGTCAGAGGACTGTTGATCTTTCCCCTCAGCCAATTTCCTGTGGTTACAGCAGTTCATCTGTATAGCAAGTCAAATATGTGACTATCAGAGTCTGAAACACCTTGGCATTGCAGCTTCTTACCAGAACCAATACTTTGTTGTGCAAAATAACTTATTAGAAACAAGTTTTTCTTATGAATTAAATATAAAATTGATGCCACCCAGTGAAGTTCATTTGACATGAAGTCTGGATTTGTACCTGTTTATCTTCATTAAAACATGAACAGAAGGTTTTGGCAAGGTCTGCCTGAAGCATAACTGATCCCAGGCAATTTTCCCTATGTGCTGTAAGCAAGCTTTGCTAATTCAGCCTCGCTGAGCAGCCAGCAGCTATTCTCATTTCTAGAAATCTGAAGTAAGAAATTTTACTTTCTTCTTGGCTTTATGGCTGTTCCATTAATTTTCACACTTGGTATCCAAGGACAAAGCCAAAGGGTTACTTAATTTTTAGTCAATCTTTTATATTATTTATATTGATTACATTGACATGCTGACTATAAAACTTCAGGCTCCTTCGCAGGTTGCCGACAGAGCTGCTGCAAAGATGGTCCTGAGGAGACTATTGCCTTTTCTTCAAATTAATTACCTTCACCATTTTACTTTATAATTAACCAAACTTAAACTCAGCTAGAAAATGTTGAGGAACCAACAGATCAGTCCTACGCTCAAATTATGCTGGGATTTGCGATATTCTGCTATGTTGGTGGAACAACTGCCTTATCCAATGGTGGGTCAGCCCAGGAAGGAAGGAGAGAAAACAACTTAAAGGGCGATTAGACAAATTGAAGAAGGATAACACTATCAACAGCTGCTTGCCATGATGTCTATGATCTTTCTTCAGTACTGGAGATTGCATTTCTCAGAATGCCAGTTGCAGGAGAATACCAGTGGAGAACATGTGCTTGTGCACTTCCCATAGACATCTGGCTTTCACCGTTAGAACAGAATGTTGGACTAGATGGACCTTTGGCATAGTCCAGCATCACCTCCCATTTTCATCAGCCCCAGTGGCTCAGCCATCAGTGTCCTTGCTATGCCAGTCTCCAGGCATCCTTGGAGGCACAGATTTAGGTCCCCTTATGCGCCCAACAACACCCAAACAGGAGGGGAAG